ACAGTGAATTATCCTAAGTTTTTAATTTATGCCAGGTCGGCTTATTCCTAACTCAAAATCTTTTCTCCAAAATAATTGTATTAGGGGCGCCTGGGTGGCTCAGATGGTTAAGCGTCTGCTTTCGGCTCAGGTCATGATCCCAGGGTCCTGGGATCGAGTCCCACATCGGGCTCCCTGCTCAGCGGGAAGCCTGCTTCTCCCTCTGCGTCTCTCTCTCTCTCTCTCTCTCTGTCTCTCATGAATAAATAAAATCTTAAAAAAAAAACTGTATTAGTAGCAATAACACTAAAGCAAACTGCTGTATTGTGGCTGGCAGAATGTGTTCACATTATTCTCGAAATTATATATATACATACATTTATTTTTTAAGGCATGATTACGATATTAAAAACAAGTATCCCTTCACGGTGCAGTGAGTCAGAACGTTTACTTAATGATATTTCACTGGGTAGTCCAGTGAATCAGATCTTTCCAATAATAACTTCTCGCCTGGTGGAAGTAAAAAATTATGCCCTCCTGGGACATTTAGCCAGATACAATTTTCAAATCCCTCATAATTTCATATTTATGTCTCACCTTAAATCCCAAAGGACTGGAAGCTGCTTATCACCTCACAGGTAGTTCCCTCTAGGTACCTACAGCACGGGACACCCTGTGGTCACTAAGTATGTATCACTCCCATTTTAAAGGAGAGAAAGTTAAGTCTACGGCAGGGGGTAAGATGTCTTCCAAGTCAGCACTTACTCTTTGATCCATTAATCTGAGAAATACTTACTGGCTTACTATGAGCTAGGGACAGAAGGCCCACAGATATTTTGGATGGGAACTTGAAGAGAGGAAGAAAGCATAAAGCATCTATTGGGAGAAAGAGGTGAGAAGCAGCCTTCACAGAGGATAAGAGTTACGGTAAGGAAAGCACAGGGTGCCGCAGAAACACATAGGAAGGAGGCACCAAGGAAGGCTCTCCAGAGGAGGTGATGTCTAAGCTGAGACCCCAAAGGACTAAGAGTAGTTAGACACCAGAGTGGCGCGTTCCTTCAAGGTAACGAATACCACCTGAAAAGCCCCAGAGACGAACGGGCGAACGGTGTTTCAAGCAGGTGGGGCAGGGGCGCCTGGGTGGCTCAGTCAGTTAAGAATCTGCCTTTGGCTCCGGTCATGATTCGGGGACCCTGGGATTGAGCCCTGCATCAGCGGGGAGCCTGCTTCTCCCTCTCCCCCTGCCCCTCCCCCGGCTCACGCGCTCGCGTGCATGCTCACTCTCTCAAATAAATAAATGAATGAAGGGCGCCTGGGTGGCTCAGTTGGTTGAGTGACTGCCTTCAGCTCAGGTCATGATCCTGGAGTCCTGGGATCGAGTCCCGCATCGGGCTCCCTACTCAGTGGGGAGTCCGCTTCTCCCTCTGACCCTCTTCCCTCTCGTGCTCTCTGTCTCTCACTCTCTGTCTCTCAGATAAATAAATAAAATCTTTAAAAAAAATAAAAATAAAAAAAATAAATGAATGAAACCTTTTTTAAAAATAAATGAAATAAACCAGGTGGAGCACTCGCGTTTGTCTAGCGTGCCCCATGCGAGATACAGCTGGAGGAAGGGGGATCAGGGGAGACCCAGCGAGCCGCCGGACAGCTGAGGCCAGTGGGCACGAAACAGTGCGCATTTGGAGCTGCAGAGAGAACCTTCATCAGGCAAAACAGAGTTGCCTGAACAAAGATGGACAACGGGTGGACTAGAAGGTATGAAATGCACGGAGGAGGGAGCGGCCTGGGGAGAAGGAAGGAAGCGTCAAGTCAGGTCGCACACCAAGCTTTTGGCGGCAGAAGCTGGGGGCTGGGGGCAAGCCCGGGTCCCCTGTCGGACAGGCTAAGAGCGCCTGTGAATTATCCAAGAAGCTGAAATACTTGATAAGTGGTTGGATTTGGGGACTGGCACGCAGGCAAGAAACCACAGCTGGAGACAGAGATTTGGAAGTTATCTGCACACATATATGGGAAATGAAGTCACAAGAGTAACTGAAATTTCCCAGAGAGAGAGAGAGTGGACTGTTTCCAGGACAGAAACCTGATGGGTGCTCCAGCAATCGTGAGAAAACCCAGGAGGGAGAGCAGTATTCAACACTTAGGGTAGAAAATGCTTTTAGGAAGACCTGCCAATCATGTGAAATACTGTGGGGGCAGGGGGGAGCGGTGGCAGGTAAAAATCGAGGTAAAGACCGAAAAATGTCCAGTTGCCTTGACAATAAAGAGGTGGGTGTGGTGAGCTGACACCCAAAGGTGGGCAAGGAGGAAACAGGAGTGGGAAAGTGCAGTCAGCAAGGTACCTGCTTGGCCATCGGAAAGGAGGAAAGAGGAAGGGGCAGACAGCAGGAGATGTGAAGTGTGGGGGTTAAATGGAACAGAGGTGACAGGAGTATTCGGATAGGAGGGAAGAAGAAAAGAACGGGAACAGACAAGGAGTCTGTAGGTGGGCTGTCTGGGAGTGCAGCGTTCCAGTCTGGTTCAGAATGGCAGAACTTGATCACTAGTTTCTGACGCACGGTCAGCCCGCTGTTCATTTCACTGGTTTATATGAAGACATTTCTTTCCTTCCCTTCCCCACCTCCCTTTAGTTCTCTCCGGAGGCTGAGTGAGCAGCATGGAAACTGCAATCTAACCTGATCTGCCTCCTTCCAAAAGACAGCATCTCAACTTCTTCAATGCTAATCCTAAAATCCTACTAAGCCCAATATTTCCTCTGGATGAATGGCTGCCTCTAATGGAAATACACACGCTGCGCACAGCGTACCTGCACACACGGCAGGTAGGGTGGGGTTTTGTGCTTCTGTCCTAGAGCAGACAGTTCGGGCTAAGTGTCAGATTTCATCCCACCAAATCTGTCTCAGAGCTGTCCCTTCATCTTATATTCTAGAGCCAATAATTGTTGGATATGCAAGATAAAGGTAGTTTAAAAAAAAAAAAAAAAAAGGAAGAAGAAGAGGGTGCCTGGGTGGCTCAGTCATTAAGCGTCTGCCTTCGGCTCAGGTCATGATCCTAGGGTCCTGGGATTGAGTCCCGCATCGGGCTCCCTGCTCAGAGGGAAGTCTGTTTCTCCCTCTCCCACTGCCCCTGCTTGTGTTCCCTCTCTGGCTGTGTCTCCCCCTGTCAAATAAATAAATTAATTAAAAAAAAAAAAAGAAGAAGAAAGAATTTTGAAATGTTCCAAGATGGATACAAAAATCTCAAATGTATAAGAAATGAAAGCACTGGCCTACTAGATTGAGGTCTGCTCCTGTTTTAGCATTTGTAAAATCCAGTTTGGGTGCCAAGAAAAAAAAAGCCTTTTCCTAGAATCACCACGTCAGGCTTGGAAAGATAACTACAGGTACTGTATTCATAGAGTAGATTAACCAAGTACTGCCCCTTAAAAACTACCCAATATTTGCAATGAATATTCTGAGATGCTATGGCCCACTTGGAGAGCCTAAAGTTGAGATGATTGACATAAGCAATGTGCCACTAGAGTCATATATATTCTGTAAGTAAGTCATTTTTACATGAAGAGACACTGAATTAAGTGTAGTCAGACCAAATAAAAACATGTCAGCCACATGAGCTGCTCAAATAAAATAAGTTATCAATGAGATTGTGAAGTAATGCTTAAAACACTTAATTTAACAAACTTTTTTTAAAGATTTTATTTATTCACCTGAGAGTGAGCGCACGCGCGAGCGCTGCGTGTCCATGAGCATGAGCCCGAGAGGGGCAGGGGCAGAGGGGGAAGCAGACTCCCTGAGTAAGGAGCCTGACGCGGGGCTGACCCCAGGACCCTGAGATCATGACCTGAGCCAAAGGCAGACGCTTAACCAAATGAGCCACCCAGATGCCCCTAATTTAATATACTTTTCAAGGATCTAGTATACACTAATTACAAGCCAATTCCTAGGTACCTTTTACACAGGTTCCCCAAGGAAAACGATTTGGTTTTACTGCCTTAAGTTAAAGCTGTTAAGACGGTTTCTTTAAAAGTATGCTGGGGGCGCCTGGGTGGCTCCGTCGTTAAGCGTCTCTGCCTTCGGCTCAGGTCATGATCCCAGGGTCCTGGGATCGAGCCCCGCATCGGGCTCCCTGCTCAGCGGGAAGCCTGCTTCTCCCTCTCCCAGTCCCCCTGCTTCTGTTCCCTCTCTCACTGTCTCTCTTTCAAATAAATAAATAAAATCTTTTATAAGTAAATAAATAAATAAAAGCATGCTGTATCTAAACCCAATGATGGATCACAGTATATCACTAAGAGAAAGAAGCTGGTATTAGGTGCCTCAGGATTCGGTACAAAAATAATACACCACCTATTTGTATCTAAAAATTCAACCTGATCTAATCAAATTTCTAGGAATTATGGGATAAAGAGAAGCAAATTAAACAATGTCAAAAGGAAACAATTACCCACGTCCAGAAATGTGCACAAATATCTACAGGACATGTAACCCAATTTTTCCAACAAATCAACAGCAAGTAAAAAAATAAAATAGAGGGAGGGCTACTACAGAATAAGATTTAGGTTCTACAAAAATCAAATGCAGTGCAGATTCTTTCTGGATCCTAACTGAAACAAACCAACTTTAAGACTGCTGGAACAATAGTACGAAATTGTCTTGCTGGTTTCGTGAGGTCTAATAATGGGTACTAAAAAAAAAAAATCCCTATTAGTTGGAGATGTGTACTTATTTAAAAAAAGAGAAAGAGTATGTATAAGCATTGCAACTCAGATTTTTCAGTGACTTTGAGTTACAGAGCTTCTCCTGGAGAGCTTAAGGAAGGATGAGGTACCCCTTCCCCACGACCCAACTCAGGAAAGAATCGTATTAAGTCAGACGAATACTCCCAACAGTTTTCCAAACATCCATTCCTCCCGCTCCTCCTTTCCTCCTCATTTGTTAGTTAGCGGCGGAGCCGAGCCAAGTGCTTGAGCGTCGGCGGCCGGCAGGCCCGCGCTCCTCCTTGCAGCCATGGGGGGCTCTTGCTCTTACCTTCCCATGCTCCTTCCTCACGTGGGAAATGTAAACATCTCTCTGTGTGAACAAGCGGTCACACTCCCAACACGTCCAGCCAGGACTGGCTACTTTCTTGGGTTCCATGGATTTCTTCACAGGTGACGGAGATTTCTTTTCCAATTTCTCTTTCCCGTTCAGGGATCTGGTATCCTCTTTGTTTTGATTTGCTGAATTCTGAGTTGCAGGCTTAATGCTCAAAGGCAAGTTTATACCCAAGTTTGGAGGCCCTTCAATACTTTTCAATGTTCCATGCATAGACTATGTTACAAAAAGAGAAGAAAGATCTATCACAAATGGTTACCATGGAGAGAAGCACTTGTAGACCATTCTTAACACGTTACAGATACTCGAAAATGATTTTATATTCATTCAGAAACATTTAATAGAGCAAGAAGAAAACCTAAGCAAAATATATACTTAAAAAGAGACAGAGGGGAATTAACTTTTATGGTTGCTCTAAATTATGCATTTCTAGTTCCAAATAACTTCTGAAAGCTTACTTGCTTGTGCCATTTTTAAATTCTTAAAAAAAAAAAAAAAAAAAGCCTTCCGCATGGAGTCTAAATTATTCCCGGCTGTCTATCCTCCCCCCGTGAACCAGTGAGTCCTCTCTGCAACAGACTCTTTCTGGGGAAGAAGATGCTTACTTTCACACCTACCCAGAGACATAGGACTCGGCTGATGCACGGGTAGGTGTTCAAGACCCCCAGCCAACCACCTTTCACAAACACCTGAGACAAGAGCAAAGCCTTCTCCCTTCCTTTCATACACCTTCCACATTCTTGGGACAATTTTAAGAGTTTCGGTTTTCATTGGGATTTTTTGGGGGTAACGTCAATATCCCTACATCCTATCCCGATCTAACTCTTCTTACTGACACCACCCAGACTTATACAGTAGATACTCAACAAGCCTCTTACAATTGCTTAGCTGCTTATTACATTAACATAACAGCCACAACAGCTATCCCACTTAAACTCGAAGGATTCCAAATACTACTGGGGTAAAATTGGTGCCATTTGATCCTAAAGATCAGTGTGCTTTGTTTTGTTTGTGTTCTAGAAGCAGAATCAAAAAAAAAAAAAAAAAAAATAGGGAGCACGTAAGTCTGTGCCTCAGTGTAGAATTTATCTTTGAACAAGGCCTTCTCATGTTGCCAGCCTTCAGGCTTGAGTCCTGAACCTACAAAACCTACAGAAAGGCACAACGTGACACACATTTCCTCCTCTAGGCTCCTACATCCCATAGATTCACACTGAGTAGATCCCGGCTCCATATTCTTTCCTGAGTGTTTGAGTCCGAAGCGGCTCCCTCAGGGTACTCTCTGTCATATCTTCCCAGGCAAGGTCACCTCTCATCAGTGCCAAGAATTCGCCAACCCTCCTCACTGTCTTGCCCCGGAAGGGAAAGGGGGGGTTCGATAATTTTCTCATGAGCAGGGGTGACAAGTCTTTCCAGAGGATCCTCAAACTGGTCTCTAAAAAAGGGCCTGGGAGGAAAACGTCTCACGTTCTTGGGCACGAGAAAATCTGCGGCGAGGCGAGACGTGATCTCGGGACAGCCAAAAAGCCAAGCACTGCCACCCCACAGGGCAGAGGCTTTGGGGTTTCCAATGGCCTTTTTCAAACAGAAGCCAAGTTTTTACCTTTTTAACCATTTAAAACCCAAAGAAAACAAAACCCAAAATCTTCTAGTAAACTTTTCCTAAGTTTCTAGGCAAATACGTTTTTACGAACTAAAAAGTTGAGGAGAGGCCCATGTACTGAAGTGTTCTTCTGGGAGTCGGCCTTACTGTACTCTAAGAATTACAGGAAAGCAGCAAAAAGTTCTGCCGTGACAAGAGGACCAGGCCATGTGTGCCAAAGTGGGAATTTCTACTTTACATCATTCCATTTTCACATCATGAAGTAAAAGTAATATCGTTCATTAAAAGCAAAGGTCTTTTTTAAATAAAAGAAATGCCACCTGATTCTTTTAGCACCAAGTGTGATATTCCTTAGGTCCTGTAACAACAAATAACTTGAACAATTGTAACTTGAAAAGTCTGCTGTAAATGTAAATGCCAACACGCATACAGGGAATCCCACACAGTGAATAAATCTATACTCTGCGAGAAGAAATGATATGAACTGGATTAAATTAGGCAAATAAAGATCTACGTTTAAATGAGTATGTATGGAGGGCGGGGAACACTGTTCCCACCCTGCTTTTCTCTTAAGTTCCTCCTCACGAAAAACTGAACAGCACAGGTATTAGGTGATATAAATAAACTCACAAGAACTAGTACAGCTCTTAAAAATAAAAACAAAACTAGGGTGCCCCTAAAACTTTATTCCTACCCATCCCCAAACACATAAAGGCAGGATATTTTAAATGTATAGGACATACTTGAGATGAGAATATAAGTGAGTATTCTCACTGTTTTTCGTATCATGTAGTCTCGTAAAGGTTCAGATGAATAAAAACAATTCTTTCGTCCTTGTGGCCACAGGATTTTGCCACTCCTCTTCAGTCTCTATTCTTGGAACCTTGTATTCCTCCAAATTCACTATTAACACAAGGAAGACCCTAACCACAAAGTCGATGACCCCACTTCCAGATGTAAACATGAGTTGCAGAAAGCAAATACCTTAAAAGCCTCTTAAGAAGTAACTTTTCTTTCTTTTTTTTCCCCTCCCACCCCCGTAAAAACTATGTTAAAATATTTGGGTCTAATTCCAATGTCATTACATTTTTATGAGCAGTTTTTAGGGTGTTTTTTTTTTTTCCCTGATCATTCTTAAATATTTGTTGTCAAGATAGTTTCATAATTTTAGTGAAAACCTTTAAAATATCTTAAGAGGATTTTACTGTACTTTAAGTGATAATGATGAAATGTATCTCCCATGCATTGACTCACCACAGGAATGCCACAGAGCCACTACCTTAGCCCGGCCGCCAATGAGCAGACCCTCCAATGAGCAGACGTTAGGTTCTTTGCAATAGGAAGTTATGCTACGTGAGCTCACATATGCTCAACACAGGAAATTTCAAGGATTAACAGTCCATTCATTTAACTAAGATGAGACTAGACTAATTCAGAGACCTGATTTGTTCACCTTTCTTGTATCCCGTATTTAAAAAGAGAAGAACTAAGAGGAAGAGAGATGGAGTTCATGATAATCGGGCCGCCGCTGCCTTCTCTTTTTAAAAAGTCAAGTCACTTTAAGCTCCGAGAGCTGATGGATATTATCTCCTAATCACACAGGAATAAAATTGCTTAACCTTTCACAGCGAGCAGTTAAGAGGCTAGGACTAAGCACTGTCCTTCACGAGCTTAAAAGGCTGTAAAGAGATTTAGGTGCCCCTTTTGGGGCTTGGAGGGTGGGGGTTATCCAAACTGGACATATATTCACTTCATTAACTGAATACTTGCCAGGGGCCAGACACTCTGCTGTATCCTACACATTTTACTGTCAATTTACATGCAACCTTGATAGAAAAAAAGACTAAAAAAAAAAGATCCAGGGGCATCAATTATAATGTAAATTTAACCACTTACTTAGTTTCAAGGGAAAACCTTCATTTTTCTAAATACACCAATATTTACAACGAATTAACACAATTCGTCAGAGTCCCTGTCTATTTCTAAATCCTATACAACACAGATTTCTCAAAAAAAGTAAATTTCACAGTCATCATTTTCACATGTAGGAAAAAAAAGAACCCTAATATATTTTCTTTGAGAATCATTTGTTACTCTGCACTGATCTTTCACGGTATGCAGATTGGGACTCAGGAATAAAAAGCATCAGTCAAGTATATGATGGCAGCATTCTGTAAATTGCTCTGTACCAACAACGAGCATCCATCCCTTCCCTCTACAGCATGCACGCTTTCTCTTCATCTGCAGCTCAGCCTTGACTTATGATCAATGAATGGGTCTGCAATTTACGTAAAGGACACAAGAGATGCGCACACACCTTGATATGGTCCATCATGAGTTGCTTCTGTGCATATAAAAGAGAACAGTCTGGACACTTGAAAACAGACACCTTCTGGTTTTCGATGTGTTGGTCAAAGTGGCGATACAGCAGGGTTTGCAGGGTAAAAACAGTGTCGCACATGGAACACTTATATATTATTCTAAAACAGAAGAAGTGCGTGGAAATGTCAGTCAGCCCTCGTCTCTGAAGCCAAAGGAACTGCTACTTTACATCTCATCTCAAGAATTCAGGTGGCAGGAGCAGCAGAGAACACATAAACACGGTAAAAAGAACAAAACAGTTTAGCTTTGAAACAAACTTTTGGAGGCAACTGGCGTCACTCAAGTGCAGATCGGTCTTAACATTCTGAGTAAAGACGCATTCAACCACATTTGCATAGAAGTCTAAATTAATGACCATTTTACTACTTACAGATCTTATAGCGGATACCTGTGTGTACAAGATCTTCACTCGTCAGTTACTTTAACACAGAGCAAAAGCACTCTTGACTTTTTCTTTTTTTTTTAAAGTATTCTTTAAGAGAAGACAAGGAACGCAGCTGGGTGGTGGTCCCCTAACTTGAAAAAGCATTTGTTAATGAACTAAGTAGGGCTGTTCAGCTCCGATGCCTATGTAAGATCTTACTTGTCCCAAGTTTTCTTTTCGACTTAGGGGCAATTTTACACTTGAATTGCAGTATTTCTCTAAATGTTCTCAACACAGAAAGCCCTACACCAGTAAACAATTATATACCACCCCCGCTCCCCGCCAAAAAAAAAAAAAAGACAGAAATAAAGAAAAAAGAAAATCCGTACCAACTGTTGTTTCAGTTTGCACATCTATTGTGCTTAAAATGGTTTAAAATACTGTCCGTTACATTTCCATACCTGAAGTTACTGCCAAGCAGCCTCCTAAACTAATCCAATAGACCTGAGCCTTCTGCACAATTCCATCCAACCATCAACCCTTCCACTGAAGCTCAGGCAGGAGGGAAAGTACTAGACGCCCCAGCCACCAACCTCCACCCCCAGGGGCTTCGCTGCTCGCTCAATATGCCCACAGTAGGTCCCCTTCCGCCCATAACTGCCCCAGGTCTTCCAGGTCCTCAGGGGAGACCCTAGGGACACCTGTGCCCTTTGAAGAACTGTGAGAACAGGCACAAAGAATCCTAGGGAGTTTAGGAAAATGGCAGAAAAACACTGACTGAAGGTACAAGTCAGAGATGAAAAAAGCAGAGTTGAGATTCCATTTGCTATTTGCACAGCAAAGCCAAAAGAAAGGAATGCTTCTAGAAACCACAGACAGGTCTTTCCTCTCCGGGTTTTCAGAAAGCACATCTCGCTTCATAGTTCTGTCAATAAATGACAGATTTAACTTTTTTTTTCCTTTTTCCACATAGAATTTATAAATTTAATTGGATTCAGCAGCACATGTTTTTACAAGGTCTTGACATATTAGTAACTTAGTGCACACTTGGTTGGGGAGGGGAGGGGATTTTCGAGGACTTCAGGACGTCACCACACGGGGTGCCATCGTTAATTGTACCAAGTGTGATGAGGATGTTCATTTCCTCACTATTTAAAATAGCTTAGAATTGAAAATAGCCCAAACATGCAGTAATGTCAAGTAGTGAAGAGCAACGATGTCATTTTTCACAAATTATGCTACAGACACATACCAGTGAATGGAAAGACTTTCACGGACGTTCAAACAACAGGGAACAAGACAGTATGTATGATACGTCCACATTTTAAGGGTGCAGGAACTGTCATCACCTCTGTCAGCTGACACTACAGGTATTCTTACTGTTTTGCTTGTCTGTACTTCTTGATTTTTCTGGAATTACCACAGAACAACAAGAAAAAAATAGCAGCCTCAGGAAAAGAATGAAGATTTACTAGCTAAGCTAAGAATTTTTCTCAGGATTCTGTTCTTACATTTTTTCGAAAGCACTATTTCACAAAAAATGGTATGGCCCATTTTATTCAGGCTACATTCCTTTGGGGAGGGGTTTTGTTTGCTTTGACTTTTTTTTTTTTTCTGCTTTCCACTGAATAGCAAAGAAGGTATAAAAGAGGAGGTAAACTATTTACTAAAGCATTTTTCTGAGGAACGGTTTGCTGGTATTATATATTGGAACACCACCCCACAAACTGCTAACGCATATAAAGGGGGAAGTGATGACTATATGGCAGAGAGGTCTGGGGGACACCAGCTTGACTAGATGGTGGGGGTCAGCAGCGCCGCTAGAAGCACACACAGGCACTGCCTGTCTCTGATGGAACACAACAAGGAACCTCCTGCCAAGAGTACGTGTCCTGCGTCCAGCTACGAGAAAGCAGCGACGGACGGGGGTCATCCTGAGAATGAGGGGCTGGAAGCCTCTTTCGGATGGCCAAAGACATGAGAGGCGGCGGAAGACCGAGCAACTGTTCCAGACGGAAGAACCCTGACAAGACAGGACGATTAAATGCAAAACATGTTCCTGGATAGATTTTGAACCCGAAAGAAAAAAGAAAAAAGAAAAAATAGACATTCTCTCAACTATTAGAGAAGTTTTAATGGGATCTACACATTGAGCAGTAATGTAATCAGCACGAATTTCTGACTGGGAGGGCTCAACGGGGGTGACATACGTGGGTGACCTTTTTGGGAGGAGAGGCAGAACACACTCCAGTATTTATGTCATGCTGCCCCATTATTCTTCAACGAGAGAGAGAGAGAGAGAGAGACACACACATGGAGAAAGAAATGGTAGGAGTAAATGTCAGGAATGCTGGCAACTGGGGAATCTGGGTGAAGGGATGTCATCTGTAGAGTTTTCCAACTTTTCCGTAGGACAGAAACCATATATTGAGAAACGTTAAAATGGTGCTCATGTTAAAAAGCAAAGCCCAAATAAATGAACCTCACACACAAGAGTTAGGACTTGAGGATGGAGCAAACTCTCCAACTACAATGGAAGAAAACCACAGGAGGGAAGCCAGGCAGGATGGTGAGGCCTGTTTTTACGCAGGCAAATGCTTGGGCGCAGCGTGGTGAGGGAACAGAAAGAAACACAGTGTGGCTGGGCCCCCAGGCTGTGGGAATGGTGGGGGGGGTCCTGGGGAGCTGCAAAGGGCTCTGAAAGCCAAACCTGTCTGTCTGACTGAATCCCACCCTAGCTGCAAGACTGAGGGAATGCTGGGGTAACCAGACTGAGGGGCGGCAGCAGGGGGACTGGAGAGAAGGGGGAGGGGAAGGCAAGGAAAACGAAAGCTACAACCAGGGCGTCCGGGCGGCTCGGTGGGCTGAGTGACCCTTGACCGCCCCTGCCATCTTTCCCCATCCAGGCTCCTGTGAAGGAGCTCGGGTCTTGATCTCAAGAGTTCAAGCCCCATGCTGGGCTCCACGCTGGGCCTAGCTTAATAAAAACCTTAATATAAAAGCCTACTTAGGGGCGCCCGGGTGGCTCAGTCGCTAAGCGTCTGCCTTCGGCTCAGGTCATGGTCCCAGGGTCCTGGGATCGAGCCCCGCATCGGGCTCCCTGCTCGGCGGGAAGCCTGCTTCTCCCTCCCCCACTCCCCCTGCTTGTGTTCCCTCTCTCGCTGTGTCTCCGTCAAATAAATAAAATCTTAAAAAAAAAAAAAAAAGACTACTTAATAAAAGAAAGAAAGGAAGGGAAGGAAGGAAGGACGGGGAAAAAAGAAAGCTAAAACCAAATACCCACACTCAGGTCCAACGTACTGCAACCCAAACTCTCTAGAACAGCGTGTAACCCTCGAAACAAATGTAAAAACAAATGGAACCAAAGATTCTAAGCTCAGAAATCACTACCACAAACCTCCTCCTTCATTACCACTGGCTGAATCCAACTAAGTGCAAAGCACTGTCCTGAGCAACAAACAATCCCCACGCCTCCAACAGGTGAGGTGAGCCATGTCACGGACAGGCTCAGGGAGGAGAGAATTTGCTGGATGTTGCACAGATCCCAGGGCCATGGTTCAAATTCAGCCTCATCTGACTGCAAAGCCTTCCACCGTGCCGCTGTTAGAATTTAGTACATGCCTGACTTCTTAGGGACTAATTCAGAAACGCTCTGTCTCTTATATAATTCTAGATTTTGGAGGTCTCACTTCTCCACTCACAGACATTTAGAGTGGCAAATAAAAGAAAGGCACAAAATAGCAAAAAACCTGCTGTTCATTAGACGTCAAGGAACAGACAAAAACAGACACAAAAGTCTATCACCATGAAATCTAGGAATGGACATTCAAAATGATCTGGAATCTCCCAGAAAAGATTAAAGGGTCTTCACAATTTTCTCGTAAGACAGCAGGGTAACAGCCCGACCACGCACTGAAAAGCAAGAAACACAGTACTGGAACAGTGCCTGGCACATAAGAAGCACTACATAAATGTTAAATAAAAATCTTAAAAAAAAATATAGAAGTGAAATCTTGTACTGTGTGCCTTTCAATTTGACGTGCTAGGACAACAGGACGTTATGGGGCTCTACTTTTAGACCTCATGTAGTCTCTAAAGTAAATGGGGGAGGGTTATTTTTATATTGATCTTTAAAAAAAATTAATGCACACCATTTGCATAATGTTGAGTCATTTGCATAACCACCTGTGAACCAAATCCTGCTAGGAGATTTCAATACCTGAGTCTCCAGTGTAGTCGGGGCTATTGATTTTGGGGGGCTTACATAAACAGAGCAGAGATGGATTTAATGTCCAGAGGAAGCTTCTGAATCAAGTGTAGGCCAGGTAGCATTCCAGGAGGCACAGCAAGGCTTTACAGGAGCCTGAATGGGGAAAGGTGGCAGGGACGAACGATCTCAAGGCCCGCTGTAATACAGTCGGGACACATGGAGCCCGACGTGCAGCCCCTGGGGCCCCAGCCAGGCTGCAAGTGAGGACTCGCCTTGGCCAAGCACTGCCACCCACTGAATGAATGCAGCTGAGTTAAAGTTCACTGGTTTGGCAGTTTTGTTGTATTTCACCTATAATTTTTTTTCTTTTAGTTTTACAATTTAAAACATACTAGTCGATGCCTATCTCTAGAGTTGGTACTTATTAAAGAACAACTGTAGCAAAAATAATTTTAGGAAAATACTGGAACAATTTTTTCTATGCATTACTCAACCTGGAAAATTACTGTTTTAGCTTATCTTAATCAGGTGCTGCCCCGTATTCCTAGGTAACAACTGCTATTCCAGATGTCAGTAATGTTTTATTTATTTATCTGAATAAAGAACCAAATTAAAAACTGTATTAACTGGGGGTAAGACGCTGCCTTAGTGCCTGGAAGCTTGACAACCACGAACAGTGAAGACCTCAGAGTTCACTGAAGTGCGTCTTCAGGGTCAAGATACCAGGTTATATCTGCAGTTTGTTTCACTTCGAGGATCCACAGAGATCAGAGTGAAGGTCTTCTAGGACAGAATTCCAAACTTTATCCTCATGTTTTAGTAAACACTCCTGTACTGTTCCGTCATTAATATTTTCCCAAACTAAATGTTACCATAAAAGCCAGACACACATTGGCATATCTGCACATCTTCCCTCTAATACTTCCTTGATTTTGGAGTTATGCGCAAAGCACACCAATAGCTTTGAGCAGCAAATCTAACCTCACGCAACAATCAAATTCCACGTTGCCATAAATAACACGGGAATGAAATGAGCTTCACCGCGAGCATCTAATCCAGTGCCGTGTTCGCAACAAGGAGGAAATGTGGAAAGGACCAAAGCCACCGAGCCCCTCTGTCAGAGGGACTACTGTGTGCCACACATTTTAAATGTCATCTTTCAGCCTCACACAAACTCTGGGCCATAAGCCCTACCCTCACTTTATGGGGGAGAAAATGGATGTCGAAACAGAGCATGTGATGGCCCCAGACCTCACAGGTGGGGGCTGGGTGGTGGGACTCGGAATCCAAAGCCCACGCTCCCTCCTCTTGGTTAACTGCCTGGGACACAGGCAGGCAGCCCAAGTCTGCTCAAGTACCACTTCGTCATTAAAGACTCAACAAAGCCAAAACTGACAAAGCCAGGAGTAAGATTAAGACAAAAATGAAATCTGCTTTTGCTAATCAAGGACTTACACTGGTTATGAAGTTAAATTCAGTATCCAGTGTTTTAAACTGACTTCATATCATGTTATGACGAAAAGTGTATCCTCTAAGAAACCATGTTAAAAAAAAAAAAAAAAGGAAAGATGACAGTATGTTACAGTTCCCCTCAAACTTATCTGTTAAAATCATCCCAAGAAAAAGAACAAAACTGGTAAGTATTTCACTTGCTTCGTGGAAACCGAAGGGCATAAATGATAAGTGACATTTTTGGCCGGAGGCTTCCCTGGGGAAAGAGCGGACGGGTTTAGGGAGTGAGGAGCTACCAGCTGTCCCTCCTGGAGCGGCGACATCTTCCTGGTGGCACCGTTCTCAGTACCTTACGTTCTAGCCCACAGAACTGCCCCCTCCTCTCAGTCACTGAGAAGGCGGTGGCATAAAGGTCAGAAGGCGGCAGGACTTACTTTGGTTCTCCTATCTTGACGCCGGGATGCTGAGTGTAGGCATGGGAATGTGTGCTTGGGGCAGACTTAAACGCCATAGGACAAATAGGACACTTGTAGAAGACTTCACAGTGAGAGCCCTGGATGTGAGACTTCAGAGCGGCCACGTCAGAGTACACGACATTGCAATGGACACACCTGCCAGGAAAACAAACACGCGGTCGTCAGCACGGGACTATCACACACGAGCACTTTCACTGTCAAAGTCAGGTAAAATGAGCATCTTGTAATGGCCTCCTGAGGCTTCTCAGGGCTTTTAGGAAGTAAGTCTTGCTTTATTTTGTTTTCTATTGATAACAGATCAAATTATTTTTATCTATTTAAGAAGGAAGATCATGAAGAAGAAAAACGAAACTCAAATGGTTTATGTCTTCGGCATCTTTGAAACTGCTGGGAGTAAATATCCAGACTCCAGCGTGTGGGGAGACCAGTGGATTATGGGGGCGGTATCAAGGCCGGGGAACACGGCAAGACCCTAGGACTTGTGACTCTGGAGAACACTCCCACATGCTGGATTCGGACCCCAGGCCCTGAGGTTCCTAACCACCCCCTATGCCCAGATGGCATTGCCAATGGGAGAAATCTTCACTGCCTCAACCTACATGCCATCAACAAAGGGACAGAGAGAACAAATCAGTACTGGCTTCGAAGCCATGGCCACAGTCTCCTGGGACACACTGATGTTGGTCAATGGAGCTGGAGGTAAGGGGGCCTGTTGGGTAGAGAAGGTTAACCACCTAGATTGTCTCCTGGAAAATAAGTTCAGGTACACTTACATTTGTTTTAAGAAATAACATGAATTATAAACTTCTGAACAATCAACATCGCTAAATAGTCTTTCCGGTTAACTTTACTTCTTGAATGTGTGATTAATGTGATTAGCCCGTGAACTGATCACATCTAGTCCTTTGGAAACAAGCTGACGGCTTAGGTACATTTCTCCCCAAGCTCTTCTTTCTCATGCAGGGACTCTCAGCAACACTGATTACATATCCACTTGATGACCTTGTCGTCCTGTGTTCACACCTGAGAACTACCTGAGGGTGGGCTGTGGAGACGCTGAGAGTCTGTGGAGGTAAACCTGTAACACACCTGAGCAGACACGTTCCTGGATGTGAAGGTGGGGGCTGACATGGGGAAGGGGGACTGAAGACAGCAGGCAGCGCTCCGTTACCTCTGCGTGAATTTAAGTTACTTCCATTCCTAGAACCTCCCCTTTGAATTCATGGAGATGCTTCCAAAGTCACATGGAAGTGACATTCTCTGAAGTATATGGGTTCTATAAAGCATGCCGCGTTAAGCTTTGCAAGCATTCCATAAAAATCGTAATTCGTGTGTTAGCATTTTAAATGACTTAAGGCATAATGTTCAGCAGCACGTACATTAAAAAAACACTAAATCATAATAGGAGAATAATTAAGGAAAGCTCCTCTATCTTATCTACTTGAACTATTATGCCACCCAAGCACACTGAAATTATTTTGGGTTAACCTGAACTTGTGTTGTCTTAAACAGGTTACCGATCCTCTCTGGGCCTGTGTCTCGTGTGTAAAAGGAGAACAGTTGAACTCAGTCACTTTTTAGTTCTTCCCAACCCTACAAGCCTGATTCCTACATAAGAGGAGGATCCCATCAGACAAAAATGGATCACTAATGAAACAGAAGGGTCCTCTACAGCGGCACCATAAACAGAAAAATTTTCTCATCAAGGGCAGAAAGGTGGTGTTCAAAGGGCAAAGACCCAAGAAGGGCAAAAAGAAACAAAGAACTAATTCTCTGAAGTCGCCTAGACTGGGGGGGAGATTTAATCTTAAGGAAAATACACCGGAAGTTAAAGGCACATAGACAACATTTGAAGGAGGCCCAAAGAGCACCATAGAGACCAAGGGAAAACCCTCCTTAACGTGAGGAAAGAAAGAGAATTTAAAAACCAGTTACAAAACAGTGAGTTTTGTAAAATATCGGCCCACAGGTGGAAGAAAAGTTTCCGGGGCACAGAGGCCAACAGGAAATGGAAAGACGACAAACAAAGAGAAGACAGAATTTGAAGGGTTCATACAGTATCTTAATGCTACTAAAATCCTGTCTATTAATAAATATTTCATGTACCTGATGTCCTTTGTGTTCTGGGTACCAATCAAGTTTCTCTTCACGTTTAAAAAAAAAAAATTTTTTTTTTTATTGTTTATAGTATACAATCCTATAGACCCCCTTTCGAAATGCAGATCCAATGGATCAAAAAGTAGGAAAATTTATGGAAACCTAGGACTTTTACCAAATCGACCAGGAGCTAGGAGTGACCCCCTCAGTATCTAGGAGATGCGATATGATCAAGAAGAGAAAGAACAAGACACACGGAGTCACAAAGAGACAAGTGAGGCATGGGAGCTCTGTTAAGAGAGCCTTCTCTGACCAAAGAAAAAACAAAGTGAAAACGACTGCGTATAGAGTATTTCTCTATGTGTAGAGCGGGGAGCAGTAACAAGGCCAAGGGGCTGCTAAGTGCCGCCAAGTATGAGGCAGGACCACTACCTGAAGCAGCAGGGAAAAAAACCAAGGTAAAATGTTTTTTCTCCCACCTAAAGAGGTAAACATGAACTACGCAGAATACACACACAGAAGTATTTTTACAGCTCTTCTAAGCCTCGAGTCCAAGAAAAAAAACTATACTAAACACAAAAATTTTTTAAATTCCAAGTGCCAAATTTAAGTAACTCTCTGAATGGGGGGCGGGGGGGGGAGAAAAGCAAGGGATAGGCTTTTCCAACTGAGTTGATTACTTCTAGCCTGAGCGCAGAGCTTGTTTTAATTTAGGAAAGACACCAGGAATAGTGAGAATTGCAGAAGTCCTATTTCCTTTATTCATTCCAGCCTAAGTTTACTTTCATTATACTCAAAAAATAAACATTTGAGGAGTTTGGCATCTGTTAAAAGAACTGCAGAGAGAAAAGGGTGCAGAAATGCTTTCCATTATTAAACAAAGAACCCAGTAATAATAGTTTCAAAACATGGGGTAAGAACCAAGGTATCGTTGTGTATGGGTTTTGTGGAATCAAGGGCACCTTCAATGTGTAACTTTCCTCAGCACTTAGAGCACGCATTTCCATTATCTGTAACACGTGGAGATGGAGCAGGCACCACACGGATAATGTTATAGACAGGGGCACCATGGTATAGAAAGAATATGTGAATTACCACAAAGTGGCAAAACAGCCACAAAAAAACTCCAGTTCTTTAATTTCCAAACCAAACGTTTCCTACTAGGGTAGAAGCCAATGCATTAAGCATTTGTGCGTCACTGGCTCGGAGGCATGTGATAAAAATGGGAACGAAGTCTCTCTTAGGGTTAGAAAAACGGACAGAGCCATTGATGATGCTGTAACCTAAATGTAACTGAAATAAAACCATCAAATTATACCAACCAGACTTCATTTTTATAATATATCATAACTGTGTAGCTAGAAGAAAGCACTGTGTATTAACAGTCTAACATTAAAGTTACAGGCAACCAAACACTTAATTTTAAGATAAACACACAGTACAGTAATACCTCTATTAACAAAGACACTGTGTAGCAACGGCATGTTTTCTTGGCTGACCTTCGTTGGGTCAAAATATAAAAGGCACAGGAATGCATTTCAGAAGGTCACAACGTGGAAGGTAAAGCTCAAGTACATCATCACTCCATGCTCTCTAAATGAACATTAGATTAGCCAGATGTTGTAAAAGACGTTATCTTAGATTCTCAGGGGGCAGTGAAAGGGGCCATTGCTAAGGGAGACGCCCGGATTTGGGTAATGGGGAAGAAGGGACAGAGGAAGGTTACCTGGGGTAGAAGGTTCTTCCACAAAGAGCGACGACGTTAGGAAAGGGCAATCACCCAATCCTTCGACGGGATGAAATAAAAGTAAGGGACCATGCACCCTTTGTTTTGATCAGAGGAGACGTATTAAGAGGTACAGAAATGCATGGTGTTCTTACAGGGGTTAAAATGCAGACAGCGTGACAACAGAAGGATGCTGGAAAGGGTGAAGAAAAAGCTCTAACAGTTCATCAAAGCTGAATGCTGCCACATGCACAGTTTTGCAGAAGGATGGTTTCCATCTACCCTCAGCTCTGTGGGGACCAGCGGGCCAATACCACAAGGATTCAAACAGATCAACTCTACCACACATGAACTAGGTTCCCAGAGGATCTGTTAATTGAGGTATCACTGTATGACCCTGAAAACGGTGTGCAGAGACCCCTCGAAACTCGAAACGCTGTGCAGTTACAAGTGAACAGGCTTTACTTGCACGTAAGCGAACAATATACTGACCGAAAACCAACTCTCCGTGTGTAGTGCAGACAGTTCTTGGTGACGTGGCTCTGGAAGTGCACCGACCTGCAGATGGCCCCACACTCGGGGCAGGTGTAGGGAGATTTGTGCTGATGGATTCTCTGGTGTGATGCATAACTGCACTGGTTAGGAAGCAGCATCTGGCAGATAGTGCAAGTCTTCTAGATAAACCAAAGGGGGAAACAGGGTTGGTCCTACGAAGTATTTTCTAATATGCAAAGAAGCGTGGTTAAAACCCCAAAATAATTGCACATCGCTCATTTCAAATACTGCTAATCATGGATTCTAAGCCCAAGGAAAAAGCAAAACTTGAAAGTTAAACGTTTAATGTAACATCCCTTACTCTGGAAAACAAAAATAATTGGTATTACTATGTAGTCTGGGTCACCCCAAAGCATGAGGTAAAGAGAGTATCAGCTTCAGGTAGACTTCCAATTTTGTTACATTTGCATGTTGCTCAGTGCAGAGAAGAGAATGTATTAGAAAACGTAATCTTGGGGCGCCTGGGTGGCTCAGTCGTTAAGCGTCTGCCTTCGGCTCAGGTCATGATCCCAGGGTCCTGGGATCAAGCCCCACATCGGGCTCCCTGCTCCGCGGGAAGCCTGTTTCTCCCTCTCCCACTCCCCCTGCTTGTGTTCCCTCTCTTGCTGTGTCTCTCTCTGTCAAATAAATAAATAAAATCTTTAAAAAAAAAAAAAGGTAATCTTGAAAATTACATTAGCAAGTCAGCTTTAATGTATAATTACACGTTTACAAGCATCTATCTCAAGAGTAGCCAGTTCCCACAACTCATAAAACACTTTCTTCAGAATAATAAAAATTAATTAGAGACTAATCCAGTTTGTTTCTTTTTTCCTCTTTCTTTTCCCAGTCACTTCATTTACCTGAAATCTAAAATCTGAAATATAGGAATGCAAAAGAATGACCACAGCAATTAGTTGTTGTTCTTCTACTTGAGTTGGTCCCTCAGTGGATGAGCTGGACATTATAGGATTTATAATAAAACCAATGAACTCAAATTCAGATACATAAATTTCAATATTAAACTGAAACTTTATAAAGCTTAAACTCTAGTCCCATATAAAATAAAGACAGAAATGCTCTTTGGAAAAGGCCCTACATTTAACTAATCAGGAAAAACTGAAACACACTAAAAGTGAAACACTATTTTTCATCCCCTTAGATGTAAGCAGTAAACATGGCATATTTTTAAAACACAAGAACAGAAAACTTAAGGTAAATATAAACCTAGGACTTACTGCATCCCCTCCAAAAATAAACCTAACACAGCACAAGATAAAATATATTCAAATTCTAGTTAGACAGTAATGTAACCAGTATCTACTACCTTCTAAAATGTCTAATTTGTACTAAAGTCAGTTAAGGAAATCCTCAAATTACAGACTCTAGCTAAGATTTAAAATGACGTTTTATACTCATGACAGAGTTATAAAATTTTTTAAAGTTTTCTTTTAACCTTTGAATCAAGCCCCCAAAATTAAGGTTTTAAACTTTTGAGCAACTGAAACTATCGAAAACCAGAAATTCGCCTGAAAAATCTGTCCAGTTTTCCTCCTGAAAGAACTAAATACAAATGTTATCCCACAAAATGTTTATTATAATCACAAAATAAGAACATTACAGGCAGCTTTGATGAGGCCAGCATCATTTAAAAAAAAAAAGCATTCCTTTTCTAACAACACATACAGCCAAGGTTAAAACAAGCCACAACAAGGAAAAGCCATCTGCACCTTCATGCATTAGAAGATCCTGTTGATGTCTACACTATCACAGGTAATCACTGGTTCCTTTGAACTCAGGTCTTCTATTTGCTCTCGCCACATGGTCATTAATACCAGGCAGTGAATCATACATCTGCGTTTCCACATGCACCTTAGACACAGACCCCATTCCACTACAGGCCAAGTGATGAGGTACTTTAAATACATGCTAATACAACATCCCATTTGATTCTCATAATGATCTAGGACATAGGTAAGTGAGATCATTGGGAAGCTGTGTATATTTTTTGGACCTGAGAGCTCACTACTTAATCTATTAGAACTGCCTGACCATTATGTTAGGATCCGAGTGGACACCATCTCTACAGCTTCTCTTTTATCTAAAGCAACATGACTACACTAGTTTATAATAGGGAAAAAGAGCAACACAAATAAAGGAAATTCTTAAAAAAAAAAAGCTGAAAATAACTTTCACATTATCTCTTGTCAAGATCTATCAACAAATATCCTTCATGATACATATAAAATTCACAATGAATCATTTAATCTTCCTTGTTGGACATTTATTTATTTATAATACATATATAAACAGTCATGGAAATACTGGTGAAGAGGTTTTGTTGCCAGCGGCTTAACTAAGTATGGAAATGATTCAAGAAGAGATTTTATGAACTACTGAGTGTTCCTTAGGACAGGATTCTCTAACTGCAAAGACTATGAAAACTGTTAGAGTAACAGATACCAACAACAAATACCAACCTTGCTCATACCCGTTTCCTGGAGAGGGGACGTGGTCCCTTCATGACACACCGTGTGGCAGGGCAGTCCAGCCCGTGGGGCTCTGTGAGGGCTGCTGGAGGCCATCCCACCCCTGCCTCCCACCCCGGCCACCGACTAGCTCCATGTATTTGCACTCACCCATCACCCCTTGGCTGAGGCTCCTCACCCACTTTAGACACAGAAGTTCAAGGAGAAAGTGGGGGCCCGGAGGCACTACCGCCCCAAATCAAAATGCGTCCATAGTTTGCAATTACTGAAATGGGAGAATTCAGTCACTGGGGAATCACACTGGATAAAGGTCTTATCTCTATAATCATGCACAGACACTGTATTTGCTCCCACATTTCTCTCTGGGTACCTGCTTCCGCTCCTTGCCTCCATTCCATTCTGAGAAAAAGCATGGTAATTTTCCTTGTGGACATTCTCCTCCTTGATGCTTGTGTTATCAACCGTTTTATGCTCACATGAGGAGTGCCTAGCCGTACTCCCTGGACTTTCTGTTGGTTTCACTCTACCTGTTTTCGATAACACGGTGCTACCCCTCCATCCCTAGACAACGGTACAGCATCTTCATAGCACTAATGAGACTATCCCATTAGCTTCTCTGGGATCCTTTGAATTCACGGCAATGACAGCCGTTCTCTGGATCTGGGGGATATAGTAGCGTGGGGGCAGGCCAGAATTTCTTTGCAGTTTACAAGAATCTGACTTTCCTTCCCTTTTTTTTTAAAATCAAAGGAACTAAAATATATCTGAAAACTCTACATTTCTCTACAAGTTGAGGCTATTTACAAGATGGACAACGCAGTTTAATGCGACAGTACTTAACTGTTTGAATAGAGAAAAGTATACAGTCGGCCCTTGAATAACATGGTTTGAACTGCGTGGGTCCTCTGACATGGGGATTTTTTACAGTACAGTACTGCAATGTAATGTCTCTTCCTTGTGATTTCCTTAACATTTTCTTTCCTCTAGCTTACCTTATTTTAAGGATATGGTATATAATACAAGTAACATACAAAATATGTGTATCTAACAATTGTATATGTTATCAGTGAGGCTTCCAGTCAACAGCAGGTTAGTAGTTGGCGAGGTGGGCACAGGGGATGGGGATTAAGGAGTACACTTGTTGTGATGAGCACTGGATACTGTATGTAAGTGATGAATCACTAAATTTTACTCTTGAAACCAATATTACACTACTATGTTGACTAACTAGAATTTAAATAAAAACTTTAAAATAACCCGGTAGGCTATTAGTAGGTAAGTTTTGGGGGAGTCAAAAGTTATACATGGATTTTTGACTACGTGAGGAGCGCTGCCCCTAACCCCCACGTTGTTCAAGGGTTAACCCATAATAAAATGCACTAAGTGGTTTCATGTGTCTTCTGGCATTTTACTTATATTCAAGTATTTTCAGTACTTTGTTAATAAATGGCTAATTCCTACACTGGGGCATACTCATTTGCTCCGAGAACTGCTACTTTTTAAAGTAAGATACTACCTTTCCATAGTCAAGTAACACGAGAAAGCTACAGGAAGATAAAGCTGAGAAGAAAATCACATTCCATACGTGATAAGTACTCACACTGTGCCTTTCCTCTGCCTTTTCTGCGGCTGGCACGCAGGCGCAGGCTGGGAGGAAGGGGAAGGGGGCACAGCACGGCTCTACTGAGGACTCAGGGATGCTAGGGCTTGGCATCCTCCTTGCATGCCACAGGAATTATCTGGGTAACGAGGAAAGTAATTCTATGTGTTTCAATTCATGTTTTAAGGAGAAAAACTGCCTGGGAAGGGTGAGAAAAGCTAGAGAAACGGGAGTAAATATACCATGTTTGTGCTTACATTTCAAACACACCAAAGCGGGCAGAAGCCTGAAACAGTGGGTCTGAAGGTCAAAACACCGCGTGTTAATAGCCCCTCCTATGCTACATAAACGGTTTCTGGCCCATTGACAGCAGTTTTGTAGTTTTCTGGCTACAGCAAAATTACCCCCAAAATAGTATCAGTAATAATAAAGCACACCAGTCTGCTTTCTGGCTCTCACTTTCATCCCATTTCATGATGAAAACACGGACAGAGCATTTCATTTCAGGTCTCACTCAGACTGGAAATAACACAAAGCAAGATTTATGACAGAAATGACTCTTTCTCCTTTTGTTTCCAAACTGGTGGGTTGTGGTGGTTTTGTCCTCAAATCATTCTGCTCCACTAAAAATTTCTAATAAGAGTTGACAGTTGAGAGAGCAAATTTGCAGAAAGCGGTATGGTCAGCACATATAATCTACTCAGATGATAATCACGGGAGAAAAGGTCGATAAGGCTAAAGTGCAAACTGGGACAAGACTAGTCCGACCAGAAGTTAAATTAACCACTTAGAAGAGCAGGACCAAGAAAGAGTTGTGAGTCTACGGCCAGTAATATTTGGGAGGGGGGGGCGAGGGCATGGAGGTGGGCTCCAGGGTTTCCCGAAGCAGCTGCCTGGGCAGAGTGTGTCTAGAAATGAGGGCTGACTGGGGCTGCTCAAGATAATTTAATACACGTGGTGTGTTGTGTTAATGATGCTCAGAAACTAAACAGAATCAGCAACCCCTGAAAATGAGGACCACTGCAGAAAAGTCACGTCTAGCTGCACTCTT